TGTGTGTGTGTGTGTGTGTGAGAGAGAGAGAGAGAGAGAGAGAGAGAGAGAGAGAGAGAGAGAGAGAGAGAGAGGAATCACAGCAAACGTGTCTGATGACTTACTACCCATCAGGCCTCGTGCCCAGGGCTCAGCACCCCTAATTTCACCCAATACAGGAATCCCAAAAGAACAGCAGCTTTGTTGCCCATTTAACAGATCAAGAAGGAGAGGTTCAGCTGGCTTCGGGATCTCAAAATCAAATGCCCAAACTGACTTAAGTCCTCGATCGGGCCTCCTCCTCAAACAGCCTTCCCAACCACACTAAATAGTGAGGCTGTCTTTGCTTCAATTTGTACATGTACATCAATATTCAATTTCTTCCCATTCAAGGTAAGGGATAAGGAAGGGCTGCCATTGCTCCTGTGTGGCCCTGGAGATCCACCAAGTCTGGTCCACAGCGAGGACAGAAGTCGTCTGCACACCACAGCGTCAGGAGCCCGAGGCACTGAGGCCCAGTGGCCAGGAACAAGGGGATTGTAAGGCAGATGACCCATTCCCACGGAGGCCGTCCTGCCCCGTCAGAGCACAGATGTCCTGTTTCCTGTACGTTACTTATCAGCAGACTCTGTGTTCATCACGTCAGCTTATGGCCGGGGCTCTGGTGGTACCAGTCAGCAAAGGCCTGGAATTCCTTTCTTCCTCCAACTGGTGTTCCTGGGGTGGGGGTGAGGGGGGTTTCACGCTAGTCCTGTTTCTAATCCATCACCAGACAGCAGTGCAGGAAAGAGCTGGCGCCGTGGTCCAGCCTGCAAGGTGGGTGGAACCTCTGCCTTCCTGATGCTGAGAACGCTTAGAAAAACTAATGGCATAGCAAAGTTCCCCCAAGGCACGATGCTCAGGGAAATTAGCAAGAAGAAGGGCAGGTAGGATAGATGGATTCATTTAAGTCAAGGAACATCAAACCATTCTGGGGACGTTTCCTCTGAATGGAACATGTCTTTTCCCTAGCTGCCTCCAGGTAACTCCCAACCATAGTCCTAGCAGGACACAGCTAAGCCACATTCCGCACCCACACGCATGCTTATGTTCAAAGGAGCCTCCGCGTGGTCCCCTTTCTTTGGCAAGACCAGACCTCAGCTTACTATAAATCCTTCCCAATTTCCAAGATGCAAAGCAGTTTCCATTTTCTTGGTGACACATTTTTTGATCACTCCTAGCTCATTTCCAGTTCCTCCAAGGAACTGGCTCAGCCATGAAATTCCACACCACTTTCGTACTGGTATCACTGCATGTGTCAAGCTCCCTCTGAAGAATTAAGCTTGATCTTTCTCCAGCTGCAGCTCTGTGAAGTCCAGGGTGGGTCTCCCCGGGCCCCTGTGTGTGAACAACTGGTCCACGAGAAACAATGTTGTTTGAAAAGATGTCTGGATGAAGACATGCCAAGTAGAGTGCCTGGCTTATCTAAGATGTCAAGTATGATACATATTTCCCACACTACAAGTATTTAACATAGGAATTCCTTACCCCGTTGTCCCTTAGCTAACAATCCATCCAAGAACCTAACCGAGGTTTATTCACGTCTGATAGAAGCAGGCCCATTTGCACACACATGCCAGTGAAACAAGCCTGGAGATCCTCCGTCATCGCCCATCCTAATGCTGGTTTTGAGGTGCATGGTGCTGAGTGCCAGGACGTTCCAGCCCCACCAGAATACATCTCAGAATCAAGCAACGCTTCGGTGTGGGGCAAAGGGTTTCTCGGGAACAGCAGTGGTTAAGAATGGAAGGATGCTGGGCAAATAGAAAAGTTATTGATTGTGGGGTAAGGGTGTCTTTACAGTTTATGTAGAAAATTCCTAGGAAGCAAACAGTTTTAAAGAGGTAACACTAGATGTTAAAAGGTCTCAGTTACCTGCCCCTAGGGTCAGGCGGGACATCTCAAAGCACCGCACTCCGGGGAGTCGGGTTCCCGTGGGATGCCTAGTGCCCTTGCCGCCTGCACGCTCGGTAGGAAGCGCTGGGTCTGAGGGAAGGGCCAGGCTTCCTCCCCCAAAAGCGTAGAGCTCGCTCCGGCTCTGGTGTTCGCGGAGCAAAGTCTCTGCGGTGGCCCTGCCAGCGGGGACACGAGTCGCGCAGACGCTCCGGGTCACCAGAGCCAAACTGAGTTTGGAATTTTGCCTGCCCCGCAGCCCGGGATGGGATGGCCGCTCCCCTCGCCCCGACTCACCTGCTTCTCTGAGCCACGTCCATTTTCCTCTTTGCTTCTGGCTCCCGAAGGCATCTGTGCCGCGACCGGGTTCCAAGGCTCACCAAGAGAAGAGACAGGGTGGTATGGTAGTGGGAGGTGCACTCGCCAGAGTCCCCGCCCTGCCCTGGGGGGTAGGGGTGGAAGGGGTGCAGAACAGCCGACCTGGCCCCCACCAAGCCCCCGGTATCCTTCGGCGACATCGCACGATGGGTGACTGGGACCCCGGGAGGAAGGGGCATGCAGCGTGCAAAACTTTGGGTCCTCCAGCGGCGACTGCCGGAAAGGCCGCCTTTACTTCTGCCCGGGGTCGCTCCAGTTGCGGGGTTGCTGGCTGGACAAGGCGGCGGTGCGCAGCATCCTGGCTCGAGGCGACCCTGCCCGGCGGAACGCGCGCGGCTCTCGGCCTCTGCACCGCTCTGCGCTCCGCCAGCCCGACTGCGCGCTCTCCCGGGCCCCGCGCACTCCGCGCCTCTCTGGCGCCCCCAGCGGCCGCGCGCAGCGCAGCAGGGCCGGGCAGGGCCGAGCGCGCCCCGCCTCCTGCCTCCTCCGCCGCCCTCCTCCCCCGCGCAGAGCACTCAATGTCGGAACGTTCCGAAGATGACGTCGGAGCGTTCTCGAATCCCGTGTCTCTCGGCTGCTGCTGCCGAAGGAACAGGGAAAAAGCAACAAGAAGGAACAGCAATGGCGACACTGCACCGCAAAGTGCCCAGTCCGGAGGCGTTTCTGGGCAAACCCTGGTCCTCCTGGATCGACGCCGCCAAATTACACTGCTCCGACAGTAAGAACCCCACCGCCTGCTCCTCCTTTTATTATCCTGTAACCTTTCCATTCACCTAGAGCCACTGGGAAAAAGTGTGTGTGTGTGAGAGAGAGTGGCCCCCGGCGTCCTCCATGCTTCTCCCTCTCTCTCTAAATAAATACACACAGACACAGACCATCAGAACACAGAGAGGCCCGGCTGCCAGCAAGGCTGTCTGTCTGTCTGTGTCCGGCTCCCTGGGGCAGGCAGCCCGCGGGGTGGGCTTTCGCAGCCCTACGGTGGTATCTGTTTAAAAGGCGACTCTGTTGCTGCTTGCATAGTTTTTTTGGTACCTATCTGGGCCAGGTAGATGGAAACCCGGACTCGGGAGAAAATGTTGCATTGTCAATTTTTGCAAGATTTTCAGATACAGTATTTATATCGATCTGTTGCCAATAAACACTCTCCCTCCCCCCTGACTTTGGCTTTCCCCCCCTTTTTTCCTCATTTTCTTTTCTCCTTTTCTTTTTCATCTGCAGATGTAGATTTAGAAGAGGCTGGAAAAGAGGGTGGCAAAAGCAGGGAGGTTATGAGGCTTAATAAAGAAGGTAAGTGGAGCTCTTGGCATTTTAGTGTTAGCTTGTGTGGCAGTCTTCACAGGCTTTGGAATATAATGTGAATTGTTCTGCTGGGTACAGAGTGACTAAGGCTTGTCAAAAATTGAGCACGCCCGGGTGACTGCTGCTTCACTGTTAACTTCCTTCGAAGTATAAATACAACTGGGGTGGGGGGATGCAGATGGGGGGCGGATGGAGGAGAAGTTTACCGCACTCCAGGAGAGTCCAGTCTGAACCTCCTGATGGTATCTGCCATTCTCCTTGAAGCACCATTGGCCAATGGTGGTGGTGGGGTGTGAAGTCCCTGTGTGAGGCATGGGGCGTCCTCCACAAACATCCCAGCCTCTCTTGTGTTAATTCACAAGTTGTGAAGAACCCCACACGGTCAGTCATTCCAGCCCGCAGTGACTTCTCCACTCTCACTGAAAACCGTTGCGCATGGCGAGCCTTGGCTGCAAGTGACATTTTGTGTCTGGTCGAAGATTGTAGGGGCATCAATGTGGCAGATCCCTAGCCAGTCTGTGCTTCCCAGCATGCAAACATGACACCTGAAAGAGACAGATGATCTCTGGGCCTGTGAATGAAGCCCATAATGCCAGACCTGGGCATCACATACCTGTGGCTGTGTAAGTCAGTTTTGCTGTTGCAAGCCCACCTTTGGGCACTCTGGCCTCTGGCTTCAAATGGAGCTACTCTGGAGGCCACCTTCTGGTTAGAGAAAGGATGGGTCCATTTGAATTGCACTCATTGATATACAACTGGCTGAAGTTGGCCATGGGAGGAAGGCGCCGGAGATTGCTGGGAGGTGTTAAAAAAAGTTCAGACATGACCGCAGGAGCATTTGCTTGTCCTTGATGAATGGAGAAAACCCATTTGACAGACTAGTCCACTGATGACAGGGGGTGTTGCCTGAAAAGGTGGATGGAATCTGCTTGGAAAGGTGGACCTCAGTCTGCGGACTGAAACCCAAGACCGTTGGTTTTCAGTGCCCGCATCAATTCTGGACTATCCAGTGAGGAAAATTTGCTCTTCCAGAAAGAATAATGCGGAGGTTAAAATGTGTATTCAAGGGCGGTTCTCTAGCTCCGTGTGTCTGCTAATTAAGTACTTTGGGAACAAAACATTATTCTAAAGATGTTTGCCTCTAAATATCTTAGCGTGATTTTGACGTGTGTGTTTAGGATGCACGAGGGAATGATGTCAAGTGGGCTCCTTACAAGTGGCAGCTTATTTGTGCTAAATGTCCACGTGTGTTGGCAATGGAAAGGGATTCCTGGTAGTTGTCACTCCACGGGGAACTCTTGAGGTCTTGAACCACTCAGAGAGCTGAGCTCTCAGACCTCTAGCTTTGCTGCCACGACGAAGGTGCAGAAGCCAGTATGTTAAAGTTGACGAAAGGCTGCGGCGTCATGGGATTGGCACCTGGGCAGGCCTGGGTGACGCCTTGGGATTCTCCGGCCACCACTATCTATTTCTAAATATGCATGTTCCCAGATTCTCTTTGCTGCATGAGAAATGGATTCTTTTAAGGGCAAATGAAAAGCTCTCCTTTCCTCAGAAGTCACAGATGTTACATCTGGCTTATCACGTTCTCTGTCCTGTAAAGGTACAAAGATTTTGCTTCTAGTTGAATGCATCTTTATGGGGGACACCCAGTGTTCAGTGCGCCATGCGGTTGGCCCATATAGCCATGCATGGACTTCCTCTCTTTGTGGTGGGCCTGGTGGTGTGGCCTTGGGTGAGAAGTTGAGAGGTTCCTGAGTTAGGAGCTCAGCTTTCCTTACAGGAAAAGAAAAAATATGTGCAACAAATCCGTGTTCCATGGTAAGAACTTCAAGGTTGGGCTGGGACGCTGTGTCAGAGTGTTTGGTCACATCGGGCCTCCTTGTTGGAATCATCAGGTGGGAGGCCTTAGGGTGGGTAGATATTTGTGGAGGGTTGTTGCAGGACATAAAGTGCCCTTGTGGGACGCTGGGGATCTGTGTTGATGAGTATACATGACTGGTGCAGTTGGCTAGAAGCAGGTCTTGAGAAGACATGTGGTAATAAAAGAATAAAAATTTAGGGTTGAAATCGAGAACCAGCAGGATTGGCTGTTGTGGTGCCAAATAAATAACATAAAACTTACCATGTTAAGTTCTTCTGAGTATATAGCCCAGCGGTATTCACAACCATCACCACCTCGTTTCCCAGGCTTTTCACCATCTCAGGCAGAAACTCTGTACCAACACATGTAGATGATGACTTGCCATGTCCCCTCCCCAAGGCCTGGCTTCTCCCGGTCTCTGTCTGTCTCTGTGAAGGTCTCTGGTCTAGAGTCCTTGTGTAAGCTGAATCACACAATACTTGTCATTCGTTATCTTCTTTCTGTGGTGCGTTCAGGATTCGTCCATGTTATATGATGTATTGGTACATTCCTTTTCAAGGTAGAGTCCTGTTCCCTTCTATATATACTACTCACCCATGGGATATGTGGGTCACTTCCACCTTTGACTATTGTGAATACTGCTTCTTTGAGTACTGGTGTGATGCAATCATTTTTAGACTGAAGTAAGAGGAAAGTTGGACTGGAAATATAAAACAAGAATCATCTGCCTTTGGAGCTTTCTCACCACTGCTTTGGAAGATACCATGGGCCCTCGCAGACTTTCTGAATAACCTGGTGGTTGCAGTATCATTCCTGGTGTTCCTTTGCTTTGATTCCTCACCTGTGTTGATTGGGAACGGTTAGCTCTGAAGTCTGCTCATCATCTTTCTTATTCCCTCTAAAACTGTAGTTTCAAAGAACTCAGCAAAGGCATTTGAGTTGTAAACTGTTGCTAATTCCTTTTGGCCTGGGCTTATGAGGGTTGCCTTAGAGCAGCTTCGCTGCGAGATGAACCACGGAGAACTGGGAGCCAGCTCCCCACTTAGGCCCTGGGGAGAGCTTCACTCCTCGGGGCTGATTCTCCAGCTGTAAAGCAAGGGGTTTGGGACTAACTGCCCACCACAATCCCTCTGAGACTTCTTACCCAGGCTTCACTAGTGACTGTCACTACCTTTAAGATACACTCATGCTGAACAGCCTGACTCCAAAGAAACTTAAAAAAAAAAGAAAGAAAAAGAAAAAACAAACAACAACAAGCAAAACCCCTCACATTTAAAAAAACAAAACAAAACAACAAAGCATCCTTAAATGACTTCAGAAATTGAGAATAACTGGGAGTAGTTTCTCAGTTTTTAAGTTTATCTCAATGCTGACAAAAAAATCACTGTGTAGTCTGCTTACTAGAAACAGTTGTGAATGGTTTGGGGTCTTCAGTGACTGAGTTCAGACCCCACAGAACAGAGGGGTTGAGTCCAGACCCCACAGAACAGAGGGGTTGAGTCCAGACCCCACAGAACAGAGGGGTTGAGTCCAGATCCCACAGAAGAGAGGGGTGGAGTCCAGACCCCACAGAAGAGAGAGGCTGAGTCCAGACCCCACAGAAGAGAGAGGCTGAGTCCAGATCTCACAGAAGAGAGGGGCTGAGTCTAGACCCCACAGAAGAGAGGGGCTGAGTCTAGACCCCACAGATGAGAGGGGCTGAGTCTAGACCCTACAAGTCCAGACCCTACAGAAGTAGAGCACCCACCAAATCTGTGTTCTCCCTATGAAGAGCACTCTGGCCTCAACTTGGGTCTGTCTGTCAAGCCATAAACTTTCCTCAGAGGAGGGTTCCAAGAACCTTGCTGGCCCAATCTTCATGAGAACTGGGCTATGATAGAAAACTCCAAGGAAGGCTGTTTTTCTATGCTAACTCTGTATGTCACACTATTCTCTCCTCCAGCTTGGTAGGTGTCACCTGAAGACTTTTCCCAAGCGAAAGTCTTACTCAATTTGGGAAGATGTTCTCATTGCTAAGGACCTCAGCCACCTTTAAAAGAAATGCCAACTTATAGACAAAGAGTGGGGTCCATGTGTCTCAGAAGTGCCCTTAACTACAAAACAGATGTTAGCTGGAAGTGTGAATGAGATAATAGAGGAGAGATCAGCGTTTAGTAGGTGCTGAATGCAAGCCTGCTTTTATTCTTTTTATTATTACAACTATTACCATCATTTATTACTGAAACTAGTTCCGTAAAATGGTATTATTTTAATTACCATGAATTTTTAAGTCATCTGTGGTAAAAAGAAAGACATACTGTATGAAGAACTCCAATTTTAGAGCAAAGCGTGCTGTAATTTTATGAAACTTAATGATTTAAAAACAATTTATGTGGACATAGTATTTTTCATAGACTAAACCTAAGAAGTGGGTTATGTCAAAAGCAGAAGAAAAATACTTAGGCAGTTCATGGCTTCAGAACATGAATTTTTTTCCCTCTTTCTGGTAGCTTCTGAGGTCTACAAAAATACATTTAAAATGATAAGTTGTTTCATTTATTATGGAGAAAAGTGAGTCCTCTAAGGACATTTCTGGGCCTTTTGGAAGCCAGTACTTGGGCAGGAGTGTGTCTAAGGTTTCCAGCATTTCATTTGGTGAAGGTAAATGTGAAATGCTTCCATTTCCTAGTGAGCTGGAGCAGAGAAGGCGTGCTGTGGAAGTGTTCCCGAGACACTGGGGGAGCGGGGGACGTGGGAATGGGCTCTGTGTGGGCTCCTGCTTAGGGCTGGAAGGGGCAGCTTCGATGGGAAAATGGCAGCTGGCCTAGGAGGATGACGTATTCTTACAGCCCAGGCCAGGGAGCTAGAGACAAGCCATGGAGATTTATGGGAAACTGTCTTCAGCTTCTTTATCATTCCACAGACAACTCTGTTATCTATGCTAATGGGAGATGGGAAGGCCCGAGTCTGCAGATTACACAGATAAACCTCATTTTCACTATTAATTTCAACTTTGTTCTCGGTTACACCTGTCCTCTTCCACTTTGCTAGGAGCAGCAAGACTTGTTTATGGTGGCCTTTCTCTGTTGCCCTGGGCTTGCGTGGAAGGACAGGAGAGAGGGAGAGGCAGGGCAGCTAAGGTGGT